TCAGTATTGAACATTGACATATTATATGTTGTAAATTAAATCATGTTAATATATTTAAAACTGTTGTAAAAGAATATATTTTAATGGATATACAATATTTGTACTTAATTCTTGTCACTTCTATATTAGGCAAGTGTCTTGTTATCACAGCAATAGCTTTTTAAAAAAGTATTTGATTATGACAGAATATATTTAAACACACTATTAATGGTCTGAAACAAAATTTTGTGGGTTACCAACATGTTCTACATAAATGATAATTCACTGACATTTTTTTCAAAATAATATTTGCTTTAAAAAAATCTATATTTTTAAAATTATTTATCTCTTATATAAATAAAGTGTAGAACATTACAAAATACAACATAAAAATGTTTAAATCAATGGCATTTAATTACCTCTCTTGTTTCCCATGCCTTACATGAGAGTAAACTGATTGTTGAGTTGACACTTAAATACACACTACACATTTTAGTCTCTCATTTGATGTATTGTTAATTTTATTTAAAAATATTTTATTATACAAATTAATGCAGGTTACTCTAAGGAGAATATCATAACATTCCATTTTGTATTCTATTGAATATGCCTTGTCTACATGAAAATGAGTGCATGCATATTAAAAAAAAATACCATGAAGTTCACAATAGCAAATGTGTAAGAATGTTATTCTTCAGAATTATCTATTACTGTGTACTGTATAAACAAAGTTTTATATTCATTTATTATTACTTTAATTATGTCTGGTACATTTAATTAAAACATATTATGGTTATGCTAGTCTTAACATTTTTATTTCAATAACAATTGTTACATATATTTATGTATGTATTCCTTGCCATTTATGCTGTATCTTCTTTATAAAACAAATATTACAATAGCTTAGAATTTTGTTTCATTATTACTGTATTCTTTGTCTACAAACCTTCTTTAGTTCTTATATCAATGGAATAGTGTGCTGTTGATTTGAATTAGAACTTGTGTAAGTCTACCAGAAAGTAATGAGACCTATACAGGACTAAAGGCAGTAGGTTGTAACCTCCCCCCCCACCCCATTAGGTGTAAAGCATCTGAGAGGAAGGTAAAATTTGGTGGAGTCAAACAAGTATAGCAACACACATCATGTGGTCAGCCTGGCTTCTGCTTGAGCTAGTTACCCCCCTTTGTGAGTTCTTGTGTTCAGAAGATAGTAAAAAGTTTGTGAAAAAAAATCTTGATAAGCAATTTTTACTAGCAAATTACTAAACTTAACTTAAAGCTTTTATAATTTTTATCACCCATGAAGCACTTCTTATAAGATAAGTTTCTAGGATAAATAATATTGGTTTAAATCGGCAACTATTGAGAAGTAACAGTGTTTCTTTCTTGTTAACGTTTAAGGTTTGTGTCGGAGACCTAAATGGACAGTGTGATCGAGTGATAGAGCTGCTAACCCAAAAGTCATGAGTTTGTATCTCAGTCAAAACTTGGAGTCTTCAGGGTGTCTGAGTCCATCTTTGTCTGATGAGTACCTGATTCACATTAGGAAAAGTAAAAACAGTTAAGCATAACTCTGATCACACCATTTCTTTAAGCCAAGGTCAAGAAACGTGAACTCTACTTCCCCTGCCTTTCAGAACATTAGGTCTGAAACGTAACTTTTTTTTACTGGATATAACACCTTATTTTTAGCAGTATAGGTAGTAACTTATATCAGGTATCACAAAACATGTGATGAAGTGTTTGCAATATATGCAGATAAAAAAAAGTTGTGTGGTTACCCAAAGAATGAAGGAAAAAACCCAGAAATTTTTCTATTGTTTATTTACGTTCCACTCATCTTGCACACATCTGGACAGAAGTCCAATCATGCATCTTCAGAACAGTTAAACAATAAAACAAATTTATCACATCCTTTGCTATGGTAAATTTAAGTCATTGCTACAACTACACAAAAAATAAATACCAATAGGAACTACTGTGCTACAACCAAACTTGAGCTTCACCTTACTTATTCATCTGACGATTACGTCTTGTTGTTTATTTGTTTAATCCACAAGATAAAACAACATAATCGTCTTAAGCCTAGCTTTAGTCAACCCTTTTTGATAAACTAGTAGTAAATTAAATAATAAAAAATATAAAAAACTAAACACTCATAATGAAAGAAATTGTTAAGGGGAAAAATTCTACAAATCTATCTTTAAAAAAGAAACTAAATTAAATAATTATGTATACTTCAATTAGTTTGCATTTGAGTGTTTTCATTTTTTAAATATTTATATTAAAAATTATTTTGAAATTTCTACTGAATGATATTTTTAAATCGTTAAAAGAGATTTGTTAATAAAATTTGTAGAAGGTAAGAAGTTTTTGATAGATCAGATATTAATCTGTTAAAAGAGGTTTGTTAATCAATAAAATTTGTAGAAGGTAAGAAGTTTTTTGATAAATCAGATATTAATCTGTTAAAAGAGGTTTGTTAATCAATAAAATTTGTAGAAGGTAAGAAGTTTTTTGATAGACCAGATATTAATCTGTTAAAAGAGGTTTGTTAATCAATAAAATTTGTAGAAGGTAAGAAGTTTTTTGATAGATCAGATATTAATCTGTTAAAAGAGGTTTGTTAATCAATAAAATTTGTAGAAGGTAAGAAGTTTTTTTGATAGATCAGATATTAATCTCTGGTCCCATTCATCTTTACAGATATTTAAGTGGAAATTTGTTAAAGATAAATTTAAAATTTCTTTCCTGTAAAAATTAACTCTTCCAGTTTTATTCCCAGTTTATTATCTAATTGTAAGTTTAACATGTTTTTAAATGGTTCTTTTTTGTTAAAAGAAAAGGTAGGCTAAACAAGCATGCTTTGAAAAAATCTAGTAAAAAATATGATGCACAAACAGTTTAAATAATACTTTAAGGTCCATTATATCACAACATATTATTTACAAATGAAGTAAATTCTCAGATTAACTAACTAATATTTTAAAATGATTTTATTTTAAAAATCCACAACTTTTTGGTTTTACAAAAAATTTAAAAAGAATTTAGATTGTAAAACTTTTTATTATTTTTCTTTAAAGAAAAAAGTTTATTTTCTTAACACCATTATTATTTATAATGGGCTCAAAAATGATAATGCAATAAAAAAAATTTAGAACTATTGACCTTGAATTGAAACCAAATTTTTAGACAAAAATACATTAAAATCATGAATTTTTATACAAAATAAACAATATAGGTTCAAGTATTTTAAAAGTATTATAATATAAATGTGACAGTATTTTAAAAAATTTACATTAGGGTGTGCAGTTTAGAAAAACTTCACAACACTGAATAAAAACTGATGTGTTTATTAACATTGTATTTTCTACAAAAAATATTTTTTACTTGAAATGACAAAATCTGAAGATTTTATCAGCAAAACAAAATGTAAAGCAAGACGTAGTTTTTGTGTTGGAAATTGAAGAACCATAACTGCTAACCCGGAAGTAGGGGATTGAGCCCTTCCAGCTCTAATGGGTAACCAACCCCATAGTTTAGAAAAAGAAAAGGTGGCTTTGCAAAGAACACTATCCCTTTAGATATACAGGTCATTGAAACAGAAAAACTCTACTTAGGAGTGTCATATCCAATAAGGTTTTATTATTTTTACTATTTGTTACAAAAAACTAAATAGAATACATTTATCTTCAAAGAATAGGCTTACCTTGCATTTTTTCACTAAAGCAAAATAATGATGAGCAAACCTGGCAAGCTTAAAATTGTGTTTAGTGTATCAGAAATGTGTTTACATTTTTGTTTATTTATGAAGAAAAAATAATGGCACAAATGAAATGTCTTGTACTTGTACATAATTTGTGCTTATCATAATAGAAAGAAAATAACATACATGGGATTCATTTATAGTAGTGGTTGGTAACAAAAATAATGGATGAGAAAAGGTTCGGGGATATGTGTCATATGTAATAGCATAAATGTTTGACAAAACTTTTAGTAACAAAAAATAATGGATGAGAAAAAATTCAGGGATTTCTGTTCTAAGTAGTCTTCTAGAATAAATGTTTGACAAAATTATTTTTCATATTTTAAAAAAAGAGTAAATTATATTATTTCAATTTATAGTAGTAAGGCACAACTATATAAAGCATATTACTTTATGTAATATATATGAAAGAATAACTGTATATTTACAAAACTTTACACTGTTCATACATAAAGTATTGTAAATATATAAACATTTGACTAGACACCTAAAATCAGTTTAAAAATGTAAATTTTTTAGTCTATTTTTAAAAACAATTTCTGTATCTAAATCTAAGCATTTTGTAATTGCAATGTAAAATGAAATACACAATTTTTGAGATCTTAAAAATGACATCTTAAAGGTGTTTATATTTACATACAAACTATTTAAAATAGTTTTTTTTACAAATACCATTCAGCTTAGTAGCTTTAGTAAAGTTAAAAATTGAGTTTTCATTGAGAATTTATAAAAATATTCAACTACAAACACAGCTGTTTTTAGATACAGTTTTTCATTATTTAGAAATTTGTTAACCCTCATTATTTAATAACAAAATTTTTACTACAAAGTAATCATAGGTAAAGTTCTACATTTTAAAAATAAACATAGTAAACAACAAGAATAGCTGACAAGCTATGTACAAAACTACCACATAGAAACAGTTTTACATAAAGGTGTGTCAAATCAAAGTAAAAACAACCAGAGCTATTGAGTAACTAGGAAGTGTTACTTTAACTTTACATCATTCGGATATAAAACACACACATCTTTCAAATATAAAAGGTTACACACAGCATTCTGAAAATATTCAAGTATAAAATTTGAAACAAATCATTCACATATTAAATTTTACAAACATTAAAGAAACAAAAAAACCCCATCATTTATAATGTTAAAAAATCCATCAAATCTGAAAGACTGAAAATAGACATAATTTTGAAAAATGATTTTGTTCTTTAATTGCAGCTAATGCTTCACACTTAAAAATTTTTGAATCCAAACTTTTGCAAATTTAAATGAAAATTTTATTGCTTCAATCAAGGCACAACTCAAAAAAAAATTTAAATAAAAAGCATGATGAGCATGCTAACAAAAAAAGTGAAAAACTTTTAAAATTCACCTGTTGGTATACAAAATTCATGCAAATTTCACATCAAAATTATTAAATAATATTATGGAACCCATTTCGACAAACTGGTTCAATTGGAACTTTGTGCGTACAAGTCATATTCTGACCTGACTGGATGAGTTGTACCAACAGTCTAGACAATAGTAGAGGCTTTCATGTGGGACATGTATGTTGTGTCATGTGATTATCAGTCACATGACATGGTGTCATGTGATTGTCAGTCACGTGACATGGTGTGATGTTCAGGAATATTCTTAAGAAGGCGCTTATTTGACATCCATACATCTGAAAAAGATAAGGGTTTAAGATTTCTATCATTAAAACATAGAAAAGGATAATCTATTCAATGAAAATAACAGTTGGCTGATTAGGTTTTTATTTCCAATGATAGATATGTGAATGTAAAATAAAATGTTACATGTATTGCTGTTTTAAAGCATCATGGAAACTTTAGACCTAAAACCATGGTTTGAAATGAAGTTGGGCATTGTATTAGTGTAGCAAGAAAAATATGTCCGTTTCTAATACCAGACTAGGATATAAATATAAGGAAAAACATTTTGTAACACTGAGCACACATGAACTCAAAATATTTTTTACTAGTCAAGATAAAATAACCAACTTGCTTCTTAATTCTTTTTCCTTAAACAGCTGTATTATGTATAAAACTAATTATTTTCTTACATTTGAATGGTTGGTCCATTTTGATTAAGACAGTGACACACCCATTCTCCTCAATGCCAGCATAGCATTTATTGCTTTCTGTTGAAAACAGAAGAATTATATTAATTAAGTAATGAAGTAAAAACACATATATTTTTAAACATAGCCTATACACTTACAATACAAGATTTTTTAAAAAAAGTTTGAATTTCTTTCAAAACAGGTGAAAAATAGTTAAAGCTCATAAGAACAAATCTTATTTTTTAAAACAGAAAATTGAGATCTCTAAAGTCTCCAAACAGCTGATTTTAACCAATTGTTAATGTATTTCTCAGTACTTTTCTTTAATAGGGTAACAAGGCAGCTAATGTTCATCATTATGATCCCCATCCTTACTATCACCCTACTGCAAACACACTAGCTTAAGCTATAACTCCCTAACAGTACCTTAGCACTAACTATACTGTACACCTAAACACTTAAAAAACAAGAATATCTCTGTAAACTGCAGGCCCTATACCAGTTCTGAAAAATAGCTGCAGGACAACATTGCCTGTATCAAAATCTTGTGTGTAACGTATATTTCATGTGAGCAGTGCTCTGAAACAACTCACTCAAGATTATTTGTATTTTACAAAATGACTGTGCTGTAGGTTTACAACTATGGCATATCTAGGCCACTGCACAGTTTAGAAGGAACATTTGTGCCTGGTACTCTATACCAGTTGAGTAAAGCTAGTTAACAAAAATGTGACATGAACAGTAAACCTCCTCCCACACACTCACCTGCTCACACACACTCACCTCCTCCCACACACACACACACCTGCACTCCCACACACCTCCTCCCACACACTCACCTGCCACTTTCGTCTGTATACAAACTTTCTGAGCCTTTTCTTGGACAAAGATCTTTCCAGTAGATTACCTTCTCTTTTCACAGATCTCTGTAGATTGTAGGTAAATTGCTCTTAGCACTAAAATAATGGGCATGATTTAGTATATAAATTTTTTTTTTACCACTTTTCTCAGTAATTATATTGTCCGACTTATACTAAGGCTGTTCTAAATTATTTCTAACTCAACCCTCATTATTTAAAAGTGTATAGAATAGTATAGATCTATAAGATGCACTATTGCAGGCCTATACAAAAAAACACAAGGGTGTTGGGGAATTGCAAGACACAAAATGGCTAGGCGGTAAACTGCAAGAAGGGCGAACAAACATAAAAAAAAAAATCGCCATTTCGCGTTGCACAATTTCAAAGCTTTGTTTAACTAATTAGATCTAATTATGATTAAGTTGACTTACTCTCAACCACTGATGATCCAGACACTCTGATGCCTTCAAGCGTTTTCTGGGAGAATAATGAGATCCATTGTCAAAATTTACAATGGTATGGGTACATCTATGTATGTCTAACCTACATATTGGAACACCTGGTGGTATCATATCTGCCCTCACCTACCTCAGACCTCATATTAACATTTATTCTACTTTGGATTTTTAATACATCTTTGGCTCTCTATCTGTACAGTATAGTATGCAGATCTCTATTAAATATTCTATAGTTAGTAAAAAAAAAGTAAAGATTCCTCTTCAGACCTAGCGGTCCAATTGGCTTATGAAGAAGAGTAGATGTTTCTTGACCTCTACATATGAAGGGATAATGTGGTCAGCACTATACCCAGCCGCTTTTACTAACGTGAGTAAGGTCTCCATAAGAGATGGGTTGACTCAGGGACGTTTATGATTATTAGAAAATTTTAGTTTTAGGCCTGTTTTTTAGCATTTAACACAGACAACATCCTGGCCACTAAAAATAAAAAGCTTGCCCATCGGTCATCGCATCAGACTTCGAGATCTTTAGAATAGAATGAATAGATCTAGAATCTAGATCTATCTATTTACTAGATCTAGTATTCGTCGTAGAGTCTAGTTAGTAGTTAAGCCCACAGCATTTATTTTCTTTGAAACAAACAGTTAAATAGGCTCACCTCGGATCTTTAACAAGAAGTTTGGTAATGAAATCTTTTGCCTCACTGGAAATGTTTTCAAACTCTTCAGCATTGAAGTCCCATCTCGCCATGGTGACGTTTGATAAGGTTTCTGTTTCTGACTCGCCCATGAACGGGGAAAGGCCAGATAATCTGTGAAGGAAAGGTCAGTTTTAGTTTTAGACCGCCCGAGCTACAAATAGTAACGGCTAATCTGAATCTAGTGTGTTTTTTGAGTGTGTCGTGCAGTAGGGTACCTCATCATCCAAATGGTCAAACAGTTCTTATAAATCCCACTCCCAATCAGAAGTATCAAGTGTCCCCCTCCCCTCCCGGCCCCCACCTCCGATCAAAATGTCTGGGTAAAAACTGTTTTTAATCATCTAGTATAGTACTACTGAACTACAGATTTTTACTATATTTATCAAGACCTAAAGGGGTCATCCATAAATGACGTCACGTTTTTTGCCAGAACTCTGTCAACATAGAGTTTTTTTTTAATCAATTCCTTTTACAATTTATTAAAACCGTTTTCTAAAACGCAAAATAACGGCTAAAACTCGTTTTCTAACGTTGCTTTTTTATAATGCAAAAGTGTGACGTCACACCATCTGAACCCCTTACCACACACCGTCACAAAATCACGCCCCCCCCCTCCCCCCTACGAGTGTGACGTCATTTATGGACGACCCTAAAGGACAAATAACCAGTTCAGCTCCTGAGGAAAGGAATGTAGTATTGAATGTTGTGATAATGCGACCTTGATATCTGGAAGCAAAAGGTTTCCTATTATTATGTCCGTCACTAAAATTAAGGAATCCCTCAGAGTTTCTTCCAGGCATCCCCCCCCCCCCGAACAAAGTCTACCCCGCCTCCCAGAACGAAATGGAATTTATATAGAAAATATACACTTTTAACAGTGTCCGCCCCCCCCCCCCCCCCGGAAATTTGGAAATTTTAGTCCGCCCCCCCCCCCCTCCCCCGGAGAAAAACGTCTGGAAGAAACACTGCCTTCAAATGGCAATCCCCACTTACAACACATAGCAGATGACGCCAACACTCCACATGTCTGTCGCTGGGCAGATCGGGTCAAAGTTCACGACCTCTGGGGCCACGAACTCTGGGGTCCCAAACAGTACCCTAAGATCGTCTTTTGGACTGTACTTCCGGGCCAGGCCGAAGTCGATTATTTTTATCCTGTTCCCTTCTCGTGTCAGACAGAGTATATTTTCAGGCTGTGGAGTGGACAAAAAATTATGACATAAGCTTGGGACGGCTTGAACTAGCGGTAGAGAGCTAGACTACTAACACGAAAGTCTCGAGTTCGAATCCGGGTTAAAGTCGAATGTAACTGAGTCTACCCAGCTTTGATGGGTACCTAACTCACGTTAGGGAAACAAAGGCGGCTGGGCATAGAGATGACCGAACTATCCCTTCATATGCCGAGGTCTCTGAAGCAGATGAACTCTACTTCATGTCCCATGTGTCTTGGGCACGAACGGGAAAAGTTGGTGATGACATAAACATGTCCATAAACTCATAAACTTTCACAGAAAACTTTTCAAGTCCGGGAACTGGTTCTTGATATATCCTATTGTGTTGCATGATAACCAATCTCCACATACATGAAGCAATTTATAATGGCAGCATCATACAAATACTCCTTACCCAAGTATTTGTATGAAAATGCTGTTTTTAATACCCCAAAAAAAAAAACCCCAAAAAGTCTCGAGTTCGAATCCGGGTCCAAGTCAGTACAACGTCTCTGAGTCCACCCAGCTCTGATGGGTACCTAACTCAAGTTACGGAAAATAAAGGCGGCTCGACAAAGTTCTGACCACACCTTCCCATTATATGCCAAATAATTATGAACTGTACATCATCATCACAATGGATCGCTAGGTCTAAAGAGAATTTTCTTTTTAAAATTTTACTCCTTCCCCTACGACCCCTTCCCAACAAATAGACGTGCAATACACATTCAATTCGCATCTTGTTTGAAAATACATTATTTAAAAAGCAAATATGTTAGGGTTTAAACTACGCGTTAGCCTAAACCTAAATGTAAAGTAAGACTTCTAGATCAAGAATGATTATGTAGTTTCTTTAAAAAAAAATATATTCTTGGCCAATGCCTTCAATCGTACTAACTAAAGAACCTATGCTCTTTGCTGTTGCGAATATATTTCCATTGTTTGTCTGGGGGCGGGTTACATTGTAAGGTTCTAGAGATCAAACATACTCCTGGCTTCTATCGCAGAGTTGCATTTTTTTTGTACATCTTGCACATATTTCTTTTAACAATCTAGGATGGGGGGGGGGGGGGGGGGGGGGGGGGGGGGGGAAGGGGGGGGGGAGTGGAGAACGTTCCCTTTGCAACATTCTCCGAACGCCAATGCCAACAATCGAGTTTAACATTGAGCTCTATCATTGAAATGTCATTCTTTCTTTTTTTATTTCTTTTGGTCTCAAAAAACAAAAAGAGAAAAAAGAGAGCAAGGAGTAATTAGAACCGACTCACCGAACTGATCTATTGTCATGCGCAGTTCGCGAGAAACATAGCTCACCACATGGGGGAGTCAAAATCGTGCAAATTCGGTTGCCCGAATTCAATCTAGCATCTCTACACTAAGAACATAATGCGCAGATCGAAAATTTCCATGAAGGATTGTCCACAAGCTCAGGGAAGTAATTGATTATTGATAGAGCAGCATTTATCGGCCTTTGATAGTGCTGATAGGTTCTCAGACTTTTCTTTTGTTGTCAAATGAAAACTTACCGTATAATAAATAAATATAACCCGTCGAAGGAAATTATAAATGCTAATATTTTTACAATACAGTCTACAGTCTTAGTTTTCTTTTAAGTTAATGAGAAATTTTTGAATTTGTTTGCGATTTTTATTGTATGTATTGAAACGATTAGTTTTATCAGGCGCTAATATATATATATATATATATATATATATATATATATATATATATATATATATATATATATATATATATATATATATTTATATAAGCTATACATCAATAGCAGAAAAAATAATTTGAGACAGTTCGTTGAGAACTAACAGCTCTAGCAGGGGTTTTAATGGCACCAAGCCACAATACCTTCAAGCTAGTCAGTAAAAGAGACTGGGATAGAGTGAACAGATCAGCTACTTCTAAGATTCCTTTCAGTGGACAATATAGATGTGGCAGCATTATATGTACATAACACTCATTATGGTCTGTATGTTTAAATGTGCATGCATCTAAAGCCCCCCCCCCCTCACTTCCAAAAGGGACTTTCTGTGTAAGCCTCTATATGAAATATATACGAAACACACATGTTATATATATATATATATATATATATATATATATATATATATATATATATATATATATATATATATATATATATATATATATATATATATATATATATATATATATATATATATATATATATGTAAATGTAGTTTCATCTATAACTCCACCACCCACACCAAATTTTATCCCCGGGCACAGCAAGATGTATCAGCGCCGTCCAATCCTCCTCTAAGAGAAAATAGAATATATATGTAAAAAAGGAATAACTGTCTTCTTCACTTAGCTAGACCTAAGACATTTCGCAGTCTTCTGCCTAACCTTTATGCCGCTTACATCTGCGTTATTTTGAAGGTTTTACCGTATCTACATAAACACGGACTTGCCGGTAACGTTTCTTTTAGCGACGGAGATAGGGGGCAGGTAGTGACGTTGCGCACTGAGATAAGGGCCAGATAATAACGTTTACATCAGATACGCATGGATTGTCCTGTTGGTATCTATCTTCACATTTCTATCACCTACGTGATACCGGGGGTATCAGAACGCTGGCCACGACGTAATAATTATCTCGCGACTGTTTACAAACAAACTCTCGAGGTTAAGGCGCTCAACTCACGTTGTACGTTGCTCAAAGCACGCACAAGTACGGGCGTAATTGTACGATTTCTATGCCCGGGGCGGACTTAAGATACTAATTACACCATATACTTACATATATATATATATATATATATATATATATATATATATATATATATATATATATATATATATATATATGTATTTGTATATATATATATATATATATATATATATATATATATATATATATATATATATATATATATATATATATATATATATATATATATTTGTATTTGTATATATTTACTGCTCTAACCTTTTGCTGACCCCTCCACCCCACTCGCCCATATAACACCCCTTATCTACGCACTGTGTATATATAAGCTTACACATACATATATTTATTTATATAGTTAAGCTGAACATTCCCCAAAGTGCGCAAGTACATACATACAAATAAACCTTCCTAAGCAAAGACACAAACATATTACTCATAGCTGTTTCGTTTCTTTTTTCCCCCACCTCTTACAAGAAGCATTTTGTAACCCCACCAACAAACAAACAAAAAAAAAACCCTGCGCAAATGAAGAAATTTTGAACTTGGAATCATTTCTATGAGTGATGAGTCGACAAGGTAACCCGCCCCCCCCCCCCCCTTCCAGGTAACCACCCCCCTCCCCCATACGACTAGAAACCACTTGACGTGACTGATTCCTTTATAAGAAAAAAACTCGATACTGCCTTTAGAAACTGCGTTTGTGGGATAAAATAGCATAAAACATTCGATCGGTTATATCCGAAACATGAAAAGGGTAAATGTTATTTCTTTTTACGTCATAAACTTTTATTTACATCATTCAGCTTAAAACGGCAAGTTAAATAACGCCCATATTGAACAACATGTATTTTTTTAAATGTTATGTTTAATGAATGGACGTCCTCAATATTTTCGTCATCCGCATTGATTAGTGTAATTAATAAATAGTGAACTGTTGTATATCTACTGATTCGTTAACCTTCCGTTAATAGTAAACCTACACTGGGATAAGCAAAAGGCCTCTTTAACTTAACAAAACCTGGTCATAACTTTAAGCCTGTACCTAAACATAGTCCGAGCTTAACCTTTATCTAATAATAGCTACCTACAACATAAAGTAAAGTTAAGTTCCCCTCCCGAACCTGTCGGTCCAACAGCTCGACTTATGAAGGGATAGTGTGGTCAGCGCTATGCCCAGCCACCTTTATTTTCCCTAACCCATCAGGGCTGACTTGAACCCAGATTCAATTTCGAAACTTCCGGGTTAGCGGTCTAGCGCTCTATCGCTAGACCACGCCGTCCCCTACCTACAACATAACAGTAACAAAAAATCGTACACCTAACAGTGCAAATTTTCGATGCTCTTGGCGGGGAGTCGTAAAAATCGAGCACCTGTTACGGTGAAATGCGATCGTGACATGTAATTTCAGTGTTGAAGTGTTCAATTTTGACAGTTCCAAAACCGTTTCGCTAATCAAGTAAAATGGTGTAATTGATTTCTAGCACCCTTAAATTTTTAAAATTATCTTTTTTTTAAACTTCCTTAATAAATTCAATGTATAATTGCCACGTGATATCATTTAATTGAAATAAGGCTATCCTTTAGTATTATTTTAAAAACCCAGAAAAATTGCAATATTTCTTGTTGTAAATGTCAAAAATACTTCCTTCAAGATCGTTTAGAAGGGAATTGTTTTTGTTTTTTAGTTTTATTTTCTTAAGAAAGAGGAAGGCGTGGTCGAGTGTTAGGTCGTACGACTGCTAACCCAAAAGTCTCGATTACGTAGGAGGTCCGTGAGTCCACTCAGCTCTAATGAGTACCTAACTCAAGTTAGGGAAAGTAAAAGGCAGCTTGGCATAGTTCTGACCACACTATCCCTTCATATGCCGAGCTTACTTAAACAGGTGAACTCTACTTCACCTGCCAAATGAATGATCAGATTCGAATGTTTACATTATTTTAATTTTTTTTTTAAAATGTCAACGAAACTGCTTAACCAAGCGAATGAAAAAGAAATATCCATAGACGTAACAGTGGTTTTGGGTGTACCGAACCCTACCAGTTTCCATTGTGCATTGACCGAACCCTTCTTAGAAGTACAAAGTTATATTGTTCGCACTGACAAAATCCGATCGTGATTCATATGAGTCGGGTGTGTGTCTTGACCTTCGCCGAACCCCTGAGACTGACTCACCGAACATATTGGGGTTCGATCGAACCCTTACTCAACGAACCCCTGGGATTCAATTGAACCCATACTCAACGAACCTCTGGGGTTCGATCGAACCCTTA